TGGGATCGTGGTCCCAGAGCAAGAATCTGGTTTGGTTTCTTTGGGTTCTGTCTCTTCCTCTGAACTCAGCTAAAAATGGAATGAAAACAAAATAAACCAGAGGCCAAAACACAGAAAAGTAATTAATGGGAACTTAACTTTGAGAATAACTATTGACTTAGGCTAGTTTTAGAATTTCCGGGGAGAGGTATGAAAAAACCTTTGGCTCAGGGGTGGGATTTATTATAAGCATCAGGTCGTGATTGGGAGCAGCCGAGCTTCCCAAAGCTCTTCCCGTTACTTTGGGGAAGGAGCCGATTTTTGCCCTCGGCCACAGGGAACACCTTTATACAAAGGTGAAGGACTGTGTGATTGTAGTTGGTACAAGTTAGGTTGTTTTCATCCAAGGAGGGCAGACCTGAAAGGACCTCGATGCTGAGCTACTCTCCCTGGGATTGTTTTCTAATGTCTTTGGGAGTTTAACTTCTAGAGTCTCAGTGTTCTGTTGAACTTTCCTCCTTCCAAGCTCGTTGCTTCGGCTCCTTCCCCACCTCTTGCTTCTCCCTTCCCAGGCCTCCTCAGAACAAAGCCCATGGGGTTGTTCTTCCTGGCTGATTTTCTGAGGGCTGAGAAGGAATTTCTTGCGGGAGGTTTTCATCATCCTGTTGCCTGGGTCAGAGGTTGACTTCTGGATACTTTTCACTACCATAAACTGCTCTGAATTCTAGATTGGAACAAGGGAGATCATTGAGTACTGTTATATTTCATTTTAGAGATTCTACTTGGAACTCTATACAAAGTAAAAAGCTTTGTGGGTGAAATAGAGGTGTACTGTTTGGTTTTTTATTTTATTTTATTTTATTTTTATTGGGGAATTGGGGGATGGGTACAGTGCTGGGGAATTGGGGGAAGGGGAACAGACAAGTTGCTGTCCTTTTGTTCTTCAGTCTAGTTGTGGAGGACATTGCTTCACTGGCCCAAGTTGGCACCATCATTGCGCTCTTCCCGGGTGAGGCAGATCAGTTGCCGGCTTCTGGACGGCCGCTCACTGCGGCTGCTGGCCGCTCACTCTGGCTGCTGGCTACACACGGTAGCCCATGGCAACCCACTGCAGCAGGGGACTGCAGCCTATGCCGTAGTTGGCGACCCACGGCAGCCCAGCTCCAGGTTGAGCTGTTATTCAGCATCTTAGCTATGGAGGGCAGTGTCACTGGCCCTCATATGTGGGATCGAAACCCGGGCCCTCTGGCGTCCAAAGCCAGCTGTTAACCAACGTGCCACTCGGCCAGCCTGTTTGGGTTTGGGTTTGGTTTTTTAAAGATTGATGTGGTAGTAGGTGGTCACTTTACTAAGAGTCAGCTATAAAGCCAGTATTAATACTAAGTTATTTTGATTAGAGGCAGAGGAAAGGAGTTATCAGGAGCAAGCAGCAAGATCCTTCATTTTTAGGTAGACTCAGTTTAGATCTCACCACATTGCTGATTCACTCCCAGAATGAGTAACTTTTGAGCACCAAGCAGGCTCAAGCCCAGTTGCTACTACAGTGCACCTGGACGGTTTCCCAGTGGCCCGGTGTTTAAATAATAATGGGTAATAATTACTGAGTGCTTACTGTGTGCCAGGCATTGTGCTGTGTCTTTTATGTGCTTTATCTCACTTAGTCCCCTCTATCCCTAGGGATTGTAGGATCTGTTATTATCTAGTTTCCCTGAGGCTTCAGTAGTTCAACTTTTTTCCAAGGCCACACAGTGGCAAAGCCAGGAGTGGAGTTTGGGTGTTTCTGACTTGTCTGAGATCCTAGAGATTGTCTAGCAAGCTCAAGGCAGAAGTTGGCTTTGGTGTCGCTCCTGCTTTTGTGGTTGTGAAAGGGCTGAGGACCATTTCAAAGATGGAGAGTTGGGTGGCCAGTTGGCAGCGCTCAGAGTCAGGTCGCTGATTTCCCTCCTAGAATGGAGCAAAGCGAGATCATTTATTGCAAACAGGCAGAACGAGTAGAGCAGGAGCCTTGTTCCTTCCGCCTCCTTCCTTTCCTCACTGAAAGGAATCTTCTAATCTTTACCTTTTCCTCCCCTAACTGAAAACCAGTCTTGCTACCACCTAGGCCTAGGCTGTTCTCTCTGTTCTGTCTCACTTGAGGCTGAATTGAGTAGCATAACTGGGGGCAAAATAATGAGGATATAGGAGAAGGAAATAGGAAGCATTTTGTTTCCAAGACATTTTCTCATGTAGCTATTTATTTGATTAGCTACCACTACCCAGTCAAGGGAGGCAAAGATGGTTATATCCTCACTTTATACATGAAAAAAAAAGTGTAATCAATGCATGTTAAATGATTATCCAGGGCCGTCTGTAGAAAAAACAGCCTAGGCTTTGAGCTCCTCCTCCCAGAATTCTTTGCACTGGACTCAGATGCATATGCCCAACACAGGCGCATGTGTGTTTAACACACCCCAGGACACCACCCAGTGTCAAAATAATATCCCCGGATGCTGATGTGGAGTGTTTGTTTTCATCCCAAGTGAATAGTTTACTTACATATATTATATACATCATTTAGTGGGCACTTAATCAATATGAGTACTGAGACAGTTAATCCTGTACCTAAAGGCTCCCAGGTGCCTGCTCTTTACATATTCTGGATAGCAGTCGTCGTTTTGTGGGCTAACAGATTCGTGACAGTAGATTTCCAGGAGAGAAAGTCCCTAGGCCTAGGCTTCTCCCCCAGGACTGCTTGAGAGGGTGATGGCTTGTGCAGTGGGCCACCCTGACCTTACCTGACGCTTACTGTAGAGGTTTATGGAGCTTTTATTTTGTTTCTCTTGCTGGCCAAGTTAGCATCTTGGAACCAGGCATGCTGAGTGACACACTGGTCCAAAATGGGCTGTCCCATGTAACTTCTTGTTCCTCTCAGTTGTCTGTTAGATCAGTGAGCTCATCACCAAGTTTACTGAATGCTGTTGTGTGTGTGTTAAGCCATATGGAAGACACAAGGTGGAGAAAAGTGATTAAAATACCAAGCAAGATGCCATTCATGCATTCGTTCATTCAACAACTGGATGTTGAGCTCCTCATCTGTGCCATGTTGTGTTCCAATTGCTAGGGATATAAAAATAAAATAGACATGTCCTGCCCTCCTGGATATAGTGAAGGACACTGTCACTGCAGTGGGCATTCAGTAAGTTATTAGTGTTATCATTAACATTAAAATTGGGCTTCTAATGATGTAAGAATAGTGGTGTTAATAAAATAATGAGTGGTTTACCATCTTAAAAATAAGGTTATGGGAAATGAGGGCTTATATTATCACACCCAGCAGTCTGTTTACATTTCTCTAACTCCTCTTTAGCAAACCAGCAAACGAGTATCAGGAAAATTTTTTTCTTTTAAGGCTGGAAGATACTTGCTGTAAAGGTTTGTCCCTCCTTTAGCTGGAGTAAAACATTACCTGTTTGGATTAGGAGCTCTGATCCTGGGGTTCTTATGTTCTGAAAGTAGGGGCCCCGAGCATCTTTCTGGAGCTCCAGTCTAGTATCTCATGGTCTCTTTCTTCCTGACCTTATTCTTTATAAGGACTGCAGTGCTCTTTAAACTGTAAACAGAGGAATTATGGATGAAGTTTAACCAATAAGTTTTTTTTTAGAAATAACAGCTTTATTGAGATACAATTCCCAAACCATATAGTTCACTTTTTTAAAGTGTACAATTCACTGTTTTTAATATATTCATAAAGTTGTGCAACCCTTACCACTATCTAATTCCAGAACATTTTCATCACCAAAATAGAAACTATTAGTAGTAACTCCCTAGTGTTCTCTGCCCCTAGCCTCTGGCAACCACTAACATACTTTCTGTGTCAATGAACTTGCCTGTTGTGGACATTTCATATAAGTGGAATCATAGAATAAGTAGCATTTTGTGACTGGCTTCTTTTACTTAGCATAATGTTTTCAAAGTTCATCCATGTTGTAATGTATATTAGTACTTCATTCCTTTTTATGGTTGAATAATATTCTACTATGCAGATACCACAGATTGTTTATCCATTCACCAGTTGATGGGCGTATGGGTTGTTTCCACTTCTTGATTATTATGAATAATGTTGCTATGAACATTTGTGTTTAGGTTTTGTGTAGACATATGTTTTCAGTTTTCTTGGGTGTATACCTAGGAATGGAATTCTGAGACATGTGGTAACTAACTCTGTTTAACTTTTTGAGAAATTACCACACTGTTTTCCAGAGTGACGGTTCTGTGCCATTTTATGTTCCTACCAGCAATATATGAGAATTGCAATTTCTCCACATCCTCACCAATACTTGTTATCTTTTTGATCATAGCCATCCTAGTGGGTGTGATGTGCTGTCTCATGGTGGTTTTGACTTGGCATTTCCTAATGACTAATGATATTGAGCATGTTATCATGTGCTTAAAGGCCATTTACATATCTTCTTTGGAGAAATATCTATTCAAATTTATTTTCTTAATATTTAATTAGGTTACTTCTTTAAAATATGTAATTTAGGTTATTTTTTTCCCCTTGTTGAGTTTTTATTTACTCTGGACACTAGTCCCTTGTCAAATGTAGAATTTACAAATATTTTCTTCAGTTCTTTGGGTTATCTTGTTACTGTCTTGATGGTGTCCTTTGTAGAATGATAGTTTTCAATTTTGATGAAGTCCATTTTATCTATTTTTTTGTTGTATTGCTTTTGGTGTCACATCTAAGAAACCATTGCCTAATCCAAGGTCAGAAAGATTTGTTCCTGTGTCGTTTTCTTAGACTTTCATAATTTTAGCTCTTTCATAACCACGAAGTTCTTGTACTGACTGAGGCTTCAAAAGTTAGCCATTTGCTAGGGGTACACGCTGGGTGGGAAGCTGTCATCCTGGGGTCTCTTTTTCTTGCCACCCTGACAAGTCAATCAAAGACCTTGACTCTGGGAAGCACTTGGTTTTCTTGCACATGTTCTGAGCTATTTTGCCATTACTCTATTTCATTGCCCTTTTTTTTTTTTTTTAAGGTAACGAATGAAGAGGACTTTATTAGGAAATTGGACTGCAAACCTGATCAGCATCTGAAGGTAGTTTCCATTTTTGGAAATACTGGTGATGGAAAGTCTCATACCCTCAATCACACTTTCTTTTATGGCCGTGAAGTCTTCAAAACCTCCCCAGCCCAGGAGTCCTGTACCGTAGGAGTGTGGGCAGCGTATGACCCAGTCCACAAAGTAGCAGTGATAGACACGGAAGGGCTTTTGGGGGCTACGGTGAATCTAAGCCAGAGAACACGGCTGCTGCTTAAGGTCCTGGCCATCTCAGACCTCGTCATCTATCGAACTCATGCCGACCGGCTGCATAATGACCTCTTCAAGTTCCTTGGGGACGCCTCAGAAGCTTACCTGAAGCACTTCACTAAGGAGCTCAAGGCTACCACTGCCCGCTGTGGCCTGGATGTCCCCTTGTCCACCCTGGGCCCAGCTGTTGTAATTTTCCATGAGACTGTGCACACTCAGCTACTGGGCTCTGGTGAGTAGACGGGGTACTGTGTCACAGGCTGACCTTTCTCAGTCCAGGAGGCAGCCATTGCAGTGCAGTAGCAGTTTGGTGGTGGATTGCCCAGAAAAGCATCTGTTTGGGCAAGACATAAGGAAGTGTTTCCAGAGGACGGAATGAATCAATCATGTCAAAATCTGCTTTTGGGCAGGATGAGGATTGAGATTGCTGAGTGTCTTTGGCAAAATAGAGGTCCCCGGTGATGGGCATAAGACCTGTTTCCAGGGATGGCGAGCATGAAAGCCTGGTCAGAGTGGGAATGAGAGAGAATAAGAGAAGAATAAAGCTACCTTCAACTATTTCAGAGTTCTGCTGCCAAGGAAAGCAGGCAAATGAAATGATAGCTGCAGGCTGATGTGGGATTTCAAGGAATTTTCACTTTTTAACATTTACGATGTGAGGTATTGCAGATGTTTATATACTGGTGGGAATGACCCACTGGAAAGGGATCAGTGCAGATGGAAGAGAGCAGGAGTGTTGGAGTGATACACAGGTGAAGGGCTGGCCTCAGTTAGCAGCATGAACCAGTTCCTCTGTAACAACAGGACAGGAGGTGGAGTATGTGGGCAGGGCTACAGGTAAGTAAGTAGATTGTGTGTGTGTGTGTGCATGTGCATGCGTGTGTGCGCGCGCGCATGCATGCACACACATAAAAGTTGTCTTATTGTTTCTGTTTTCTGGGAGAAATGGGAAGCATGATCACCACCTGAGAGGGAGGATGAGGGAGCAGGTGCAACAACAGTGATTACATGCAGGTGGAGGCAGTATTGCTGGCCCCTAAAGCAGTCACCCTATTTACCTGTTCATTCGGCAAAGGTTATTAAGTGCACAATGTCATGTTTGAGCACTGGGGTACCGAGTTGGAAAAAAACAAAAAAAAACACAATTCCTCCCCTCAAAGAAATCACAATCTAGTTGGGGAGACCACAGGTATTCTGTTCTGTGGCAGAGGTAGGCACTGGAGCTATGGGAGTGCGGAAGAGGACACTTGAAACACCTTCCAGCTGGATCGAGGAAAAAGGAGGTGACATTTGAACACCAGAGACGGCTAGATAAGGAGGGGAGGAGGGATGCTCTAGGAAGAGCAAACCCCCAGTGATTTGAAGGAGCAAGTTGTGTCCAGGGAGCTGCAGGTAGTTCTGTTGCTTCCTAAATTTCATTCTCGCCCCCTTCCATGCATTCTCCACACAGCATCCAGACTGATCTTTTTAAAAGCTTAATTTATAATTTGGATCATGTTAGACTCCTGCTTACAACCTGTCAATGTCTTTTCACTCCATCAAGATGAAATCGAAACTCCTAACTATGGTGTCCTCACTCCAACTCCTGCCTGTGTCTCTGAACTCCTCTGATTATCCTCCCCCATCCCCTTCCCCTGCCCACCAAATGCCGTCCCCGTTCATGTGCACGCTTCCTCCACTAGCCAGACCAGCCTTTTCTCTGTTCCCACCTTCGCATGGGCTACCCTGTCTGCCTGGAACACTCTTGCCCCAGCCAGCCATCCTTTTTTCAGACTCAGCTCAGCTCTCATCCCCTTGGAGCCTTTCCTGACTGTCCCCTGTCAAGTCGTCCTGCTTGCATCCTCATGGTTGTGCTCTTCTTGCATCACCCTGTACGTTTGCGTCAGGGCACCTATCCCTTACTTGCTTTTAGTCTTTTCTCATTCGAATGGAAACTATGCAGGTGGGAACCGTGCCTATCTTATTCACTGCTGTATCGAAAGAGCCTGGCTGAGTACTTGACACACAGTAGGCTCTCATCAGATGTTTGCTGAATGAATAAATGAAGAGGCCTAGTGTGCCTGAAGCATAGGTTGTATGGGAGGGAATGGTGGAGATACTTGGGAATCAGATCACGGATGGCTTTGACTCAGTTCTTAAGTACGACAGCAGCCCCTGAAGGATGTTAAGCAGGGAGTTACATGGTCACGTCTGTGTTTTCAAAAGATCCCCAGCCGCTGTTGCAGGATGAACTGGAGAGGCATGCCTGGAGGCAGGGATACCAGCCAGGAGGTATCAGGGTTCTATGTGAGAAGTGATGGGGCTGAGCCAGCGCAGTGGCAGCAGGAGGGAAGTGGACACACTGGGGCCCTATCAAGGAGTTAGAATCTGAGGGACCTGCGTCTAGTGGGGCGAGAAATCTAAATGTTCTAGAATGGAAGAAGGAACTCACCAAGTGACTGTAAGGTAAGGAGAGGAGGTTGGAAATGCTGACTTTAGGCTGATTCCTGGGATCAGCATTTTTAGGCCATTTTGGATTTTTACACCTTGGGTGAGGGGAAGGTTTACTTTCCAGTCAGGGTTTTGAAATAACCAGCTCTTAAAAACTAACTTTTTTTTTTCATGCTTTGTGCCATGTACTATGCTAGGTGTTTGTTTTTTAAATAAATTCTAACTTACTGTATCTTTGTTAATTTGGCCAAGTCAAAACAGCTGTATTTTACAGATGAAGAAACTGAACTCAAGAGCTTAAGTTATGTAACCAGGGAGGTTCCAGTTAGCAAGTTGCAAAACTGGGATTCAAAACAAAGTCTTCTAAGTTCTAAATCCAGAGCTGTTTCTGGAATAGCATTGTTGCTTCTTGAAACCTTGAGATGGAATGAGGCAGCCAGAGTTTATGCAGGGTAGGAGGAGACGTGCCAGCATTGTGGGCAAATGGACAGAATTTCCTCTGTCTCAAAGACCTCCTGATTTTGTGTGATCCTGTTCCTATTCTGGATGGAGAATTTCTAGGTGGGAATTAGGAGTTAGTAGGCAAGTGAATTATCTCTGGTTTACAAATGAGCAGCACTGAGCTCCCATAATCGTTTGGGAGCCGTGATTATATGTCCAGGGACAAGCTGTGAGATGACACTGGGGGGAAGTGAAGGTGGTGAGACTACCCCCGGGGTACTGCCTGCTCCTTCCTTCAAAAGTTATTGCCACAGGAAGAGTTCAAGAGGAGATGCAATCAGAGGTTAACTGCAGAATTTTGGCTACTTCTCTTTGATGACTTGACTTTAAAAGTTGAGCTAAAGCCATACCTCCAGTGTTAATATGAGTGATTTTGTTAGTGTTGTTAAAAATTAAAGGAAATTAAAATAAAAAGTCCTTGCAGCTTTTACCTCCAAAATACGCATATTTATTGAATCGATTCGTACTGCCACTCCCCAGATTTCTAGATAATTGTTGGTGAAACTATGAGCAGGCTAGTACCCTCATACATTGGCTGTTCATGGCTTCACCAGCCTAAGACCAGCGTTTTCAAAGTAGCTATTTTAAGTTTCCATTAATAGATGACTGGTGAAATATGTCCACAGGATGGAAGACCATGAAGCTGTTAAAAAGAGTAAGGGACTTCTCAGTGTATCATGACAAGGACAGATATTATAGTATGTTATTAAGTGATAAAAGCATGTCGCATATACGAGGTTGGACAATTAAGTTCGCGAACTCACCCTAGAAAAAGTGCTACATACCTCATTGCTGAATATCACTACGGTCACCTTCCCCTTAGGAAACTGCACCAATGCCAGCACCTAGTCCACCCTTCAAAGCAATTTTGGACCTCTTTTTCTGGAATGGTCATCACAGCTGTCATATTACCCTGATGTCTTGAATGTCATCCAAATGTCTTCCTTTCAATATTTCCTTTATCTTTGGGTAAAGAAAGAAGTCATTGAGGGCAAGATCAGGTGAGTAGGGAGGATGTTCCAATACAGTTATTTGTTTACTGGCTAAAAACTCCCTCACAGACAGTGTGTGAGCTGGTGCATTGTCATGATGCAAGAGCCATGAATTGTTGGCAAAAAGTTCAGGTTGTCTAACTTTTTCACGTAGCCTTTTCAGCACTTCCAAATAGTAAACTTGTTTAACTGTCCAGTTGGTACAAATTTATAATGAATAATTCCTGTGATATCAAAAAAGGTTAGCAACATCGTTGCAACAAGTTCGCGAATTTAATTGTCAGTCCGTGTATGTGTTGGGAAGTGTAGGGAAAAAAGTCTGAAAGGGTAAATGCTAAATTGTAGTTATTTTGGGGGAGTAGGAGGGAGCAGAGGACATGTATTTCTTTCCTTTTATGTTTTGACATGTTCGGATTTTTTACAGTGAGCAGACTTTTTTTAAAAAAAGACTCTTCTTTGAAGTATCATGTATATACAGAAAAGCACACGTTGTATCAGAAGTGTATAATGTGATGAATTTTCACAGCCTGAATGTATCTGTGAAATCAGTACCAGGTCGGGACACACCAGCACCCATTTCATCGCAGCTCTGCTCAGCCTCCCTTCTAGACAAGGGTAACCTGAATTCTCACAGCATAGATTGGGCCTGCCTGCTTATCCTTTATGCATGTATATGGAGTCAGACTGTGTATTACTTTTGTAATGAGAGACAGGCGGATTTTTTTTTTTTTAAGAATGGTCACTGCTCACGTACCCGTTTCTGTTTGTCCAGATCATCCCTCAGATGTGCCGGAGAAGCTCATCCAGGACCGGTTCCGGAAACTGGGCCGCTTCCCGGAAGCCTTCAGTTCCATTCACTACAAGGGAACGAGGACTTACAACCCCCCCACAGACTTCTCTGGGCTTCGGCGTGCTTTGGAGCAGCAGCTCGAGAACAACACCACCCGTTCTCCCCGGCACCCAGGGGTCATCTTCAAAGCCCTGAAGGTCAGCTGGCTCCTGCCCAGAGTGCTGCTGCTTGGGGTGCCAGTGGGTGGTGAGAACTCTGAGCTCACCAGCTTTTGTTGGTGCTGGTGATTAAAAACCTGGGCTGGAAAGAGAGGTTATGAGAAAAGGAAGCACAGGAGTGCACTTTGCACCTGTTGAAGGACCTCATCTTGCTAGGAGCACGAGTACAGAGGAATCTGGGGTGATAGTTAAAAAGTGACAGGTCCTCATCTCAGAGGAAAACTAGGCTTTCGGGGAACAGGAAAAAAACCTTCATTTCTGGGTGGTGTGACTGACCCTTTGTTGAGGCTCAGTTATGTGGATAGCCTTTGTGTGTTTCTTTATATGAACTCACCTTTTTCCTGGTTTTTTTGTAACCTAAATTTATTCAAGAAGGCATATTTTGTAATCACTATAAATGGAAAACTAGTATCACAGGTAGAAATTAGGCCAATACACATTCAAAACAGACACACGATAACAATAATTGCTGTTTCTTAGGTACCAAAGTTCAGAGGACTATATGAATTCGTTCATTTAATCCTCACACCAACTCTATGAGCTAAGCACGGTTACCATCCTTATTTTGCAGGTGAGGAAACAGGCACAGAGAGATGAAGTAATTGGTTACACACATAGTTCCTAAGTGCCAGCAGGCATAAACCCCGGCTTTTTGCTCTAAAGCTTCTTGTCATAACCAGGAATGCTCTCCTGCCTCTCAAAAAATAAAAGACCATATTCCTCTCTAGAGACTGTTGCTCATGGGAAGTTCTGAGACTGGGACTTGTTTTTCCTTTGTTGAAAAGGGAGATTAAGGGCTGGCCAAGTGGCTCAGTTGGTTAAGAGCTCGCTCAAGAGTGCGAGCTCTGAGCAACAGGGTCGCCGGTTTGATTCCTGGCCCAGGCTGAACTGCTGAGCAGCCAATAGGTGGCAAGATGGCTCAGCTTTAAAAAAAAAAAAGTAAAAGGAGATTAGCAGCCAGTGTTTGGGAGATGATAAAGATACACTGTTCCCTAAGTGAGACTTTCCCTTTAACAAAATCTGAAATATTGAAAAGGAAATAATTTCTACTGTGGAATTTTTTTTTTTTAATTGGGGAATTGGGGAGGGGGTGCTGTGTTACAATCTTAATTGCAGGTGGGTTTAGCTACCATCCCATGCGGGAGTCGAACTGGCAGCCTTGTTGTTAACAGCGCACACTCTATCCACTGAGCCATCCGGGTGGCAGCTCAGCTCAAGGTGCCGAGTTCAGTCTTAGTTGCGAGTGGGCGTAGCCCACCATCGAACAGGCAACCTTGTTGTTAGGAGCACATGCTTTCACCAACTGATCCACTCTGCCACCTGTTGGCAGCTTAGCTTGGGCACAGCGTTACTGGCCCATGTGAGAATCGAACTGGCGGCCTTGTTGCTCAGACCTTGCACTCTTAAGCCAACTCTTAACCAACTGAGCCACTTGGCTAGCCCATGGAATTTGATGTTATGCAATGTTCTCACCTACAGTCATGTCGTGTGCCACCTAAAATTCATCTTGTGTACACCATTGATGTGGGGCACACCTTTTAGGAAACCTCTCTAAGCATTGTATCTTTGTTCCTTACAATCAGGTGAATGTTTTTCTCATGTATCCCAGCGGTGGTATCCATGTATTGTTTCGATAATACAGTAAAATCCTGTTACAAAGTGCCTTGCTATTGCACAGTTTTCTCTGTCCTGATGGATGGTGCGTGCTTTTTGTAACAGAGACCCTGCCACCTGGGTGGGCTGCTAGCCCTTCAACCATGACAGGCATGGTACATGTAACCCATGTGGGGCCCTTCTTTATCATACAGCATCTTAGGCCTCACAGGTATCTTGTAGGTGGAGATGCTGCTATACTAGCTAAAATCAGCTCACTCCTACAGTGGTAGCTACTCTACCATCCCTATGTTATGGCCATCATCAGGAAAGAAAGCACTGGAACAGTGGCAGTGGAGGGAACAGATGGGATCATTGAAAACTATGCCTCCAAGTATTGGGTTGTCGGAAAAGTCATGATGCATTTTTGCAACGAAAAACAGAAAAAATAACGTCATGACTTTTCCGACAACCCAATATTACTGATTATTGAAAATTGCCATTTTAGAATTGGTTAGGTAGTCCCAATGAAATTTTGATGTCTTATCACACATGCATTGGTCAAATCATTCCCCACACCTAGTAAAAGCTGGGAAAAGTTTTCCCATAAGAAATTTAGAAGTTGTTCAGATCCTTATGGGAACAAGAATTCTAATTTTAGGACAAATTCTTCAGTGATCCATTTATATTACATTTGTCTGAATTCATGTCCTCTGGCTTACATCAGGAATACATGTTAGGTGTAGAAAAGTATTGGCTGTGTACAGTAGGGTACAACACTGGAAACAAAGACCACCCACATTCCCTCCACCTAGGGGTAACCATTGTTAACACTTTACTGCATGCCCTTACAGTATGTATTCTGTGCATTAAAAAATATATAGCCCGTCACATTATAGATGTACATTTGTAATCCTTTCCTCATGTAACATCATAAACGTTGTACTATATTATTTTAAGGTTTTTATGAATAGTTTTGATAGCTGCACAATATTTCATTGTCTAGAGATGTACCAAACTAACAATGGTTGGACAAGAGATTATTAGTAAATTTTCTCTATTATAAATAACACCACAACTAACTATAAAAGCTCTTTCTATTTTGAAATTATTTTTCTAGGTTATATTTTGTTGAAGTAGAAGATTGTGTCAAAAGGGTGTGTGTGTGTGTGTGTGTTTGTATAAGTATAAACAGTGAATATCTGTCGCATTTCCATCATTTCGCAGTTGGATATAGAATCTAATTTTAAATACGTTTGCTTATATTTCTTTTCTATTTTGCTTATTTTTAGTATTTCAAGGATTTTACATCCACACAATCTTTTATCTTTACTGTGTACTTTTGTTTTTTTCTTTTAAAGATTTTTATTGGGTAATTGGAGGAGGGGAACAGCGTTGGGGCATTAGGGAAGGGGAACAGACAAGTTGCTGTCCTTTTGTTCTTCAGTCTAGTTGTGGAGGACGTCACTTCACTGGCCCATGTTGGTATTATCATTGCGCTCTTCCTGGGTGAGGCAGATCGCTCGCCAGCCACTGGATGGCCGCTCACGGTGGCTCTTGGCAGTTCACACTGTCTGCTGGCCGCTCATGCTGGCTGCTGGCCACACACGGTAGCTTGTGGCAGCCCACTGCAGACCCACTGCAGCATACACCGTTGCCGGCGACTCACGGCAGCCCTGCTCCAGGTCGAGCTGTTGTTCACCATCTTAGCTGTAGAGGACAGTGTCACTGGCCCCATGTGGGATCCGAACCGGGGCCCTGCTGCTCAGAGCTGGCATCCCAAGCCAGCTCTTAACCAACGTGCCACTCGGCCAGTCCGATTTATGATTTTTTTCTATATGATTTTCTCTGTATTTTAGATAAAATATACAACAATATTGTTAGGAAAAAAATATAAACCTTTTAGGAAAATGGAGAGACAGATCACTTAAGAGGCAGTCAAAATTGTGGTGCACAAATAAATCTCAACTGTAGTAATCAAAGAAATAAAAATTGAAATCACAACCATACAAGGGCAAACACTGAAAAGTCTGGCAATAAAATGTCAGAAAGGATATGAAGCAGTGTAAATGCTTATAAACTGCCAGTTGAAGTTAAAATTAATACATCACCTAGAAATGCAATTTATAAATATCTGGTATAAATAAAGATGTGTATAAGATACATTCTAGCCATAGCATTTCTAGGAATTTGCCTTAAACCCTTCCATAGGACGACAAGAAGACATATAAGAGGACGTTAATCGCACATTTTTGTAAAAGCAAAAAAAAAAAAAGGCAATCTAAGGTTGCAAAAAAAAAAAAATTTTTGTATTTTATGATCCTTGCTACTTATTTTAAAAGAGATATGATATATGCGCGTGCAGCTATATACTTTGTCTTTTTTCATGAAACATTGAAGCCTAGCATTTTTTCCATGCCATTAAATATTCTGTGAAAACATGTTTTGAAAATAGCTGCATACTTTTCATTTATATGGATGGATCGTTTTTTACACGTGGTAATTCTGCTCTTTTAATAGTGATTTCCATTATTTCTTATTAGTATTTTTTCCTGTATTTAAAGGTATTGCCCACATTCTGCCCGTTTCCTTAGGATAGAGTACAACTCCCGCTACCACTGCTGGCCAGCCTCTATGGGGTGTTTACTATGCCATGTACGGTACTCTGCATGCACTCGCATTAATTCATTTAACCCTCATACCAGCTCCATTCAGTAAAGAAATGGAGGCACAGAGAGGCTAATTAATTTGCCTGAGATGACTCATCTAGTAAGTGGTGGAGAATTTGAACCAGGGAGTCTGGCTCTGAAGCCTATGCTTTTAATTAACTCTGTGCTATATTCCTTCTCAATAGTTATTCCACTTCTAAGAACTTCTGAGGGTGCAGCCATCTTTAAAGGTTCCTAATACATATTACCAGTTGCCTTTAGAAAGGACATTCCCAGGAGTTGTATTTGAGTGTTTGGTGACTTTAATTGGAAAAAAAGGTCATTTTTTGAATTATAAAAGCAATGTGTGTTCATGAAAGACAATTCAAATAGTACAGAAATGTGTATGGTACCAATTAAGTCCCTTTTTCTCTCCTCCCCCCTCATTCTATGATACCCATTGTTAGTATTTCTTGTGTATGCATCTAGAAATTTTCAGTGCTACATATGTGCATACATAGGTATATGTATCTGATGTATATATTTTTCTCTCTAAATGGGATCGTAGAGAAGTTAAATCCTTTTCTCCTTCCCCATATTCTCTTCTCATTCTGCAGATAATCATTCTAAGTAGTTTCTTCTATATGCTTCTAGAAGTTTTCAGTGTTATATAAGTGCATGTATACACATGCATGCACACATCTTTTTTCCTTCATAAGTGGGATCATACCATTCATA